TTGATTGATTGATTGATTGATTGATTGATTTGTATTGATTGATTGATTGATTGATTGATTGATTGATTGATTTGCCGCTAGAACATGGTGATATAGACCGCCGTTTTGTTTTTTTATTTCAATCCGTTTTCTTTTATTTTTTCTCTATTTCTTTGCACTTTGAAAAAGTATGACTATACCGGACTGTTTCGTTGGACTTTGTTTGACACACACACAGGCACACATACAGACACACACACACACACACACACACACACACACACAATCAATCAATCGATCAACCAATCAATCATCTGATTTTTTTTTTTTTCGCAGGATCTTGCCGTCGATCTCCAACCCCTTCGAACAGCAACCAAACCACTTCTCGCCCAGCGAGGGCGCAGCCCCGACCGCTGTGGTCGCCTCGCCAACCGCAGCGGGCAAAGTCACGACCGTGGAGGGCAAGTTCACAACCGCGAGGTCGCAACGGGACTCGAGTGGGCCTCGGTTCTCGGCCACGTCGGCGCCCGGTGGACCCGGGGCGGGGAGGGGGCCTAGGACGCAGGGAGTACGACATCAAGGGACTTCAACGGCTCGAGGGGCGACATCACATAGCGACATCAACGCATAGGCTGGTGCGAACGAGTCATACGTTCACAATGAGTCGGAAAGGGGGTGGTTCCAGGGGGGACGGTGGTTCAGGGGGGTCAGATTTCATCCCTGTTTTCGATGTTGAGATGGCCAAGTTGAGGAGGGCCTCATGCGTTTAGAAATACGTTACGCTGGGGCAACCGGTAGGCACGTGGGACAAGTTTCACAGTGACCGCAAGTTGCGATGCAACTTGTGCAATCACCTGTGGCAGGGGAACCAATCGAAGGCCGCGAGGCACTTCTGCCAGTTGAAGAAGTGCCATGTTGTGTAGTTCGACGTGCTCGTTGACATTTGGAACGGCACGGACTACAGATTCGATGACCGACATCACGCATCCATCCGCGCATACATGGAGGAGCATGGCATCAGAGACTCCCGAGCAGTTGTTGGAGGTCGTACAGGAGCGGATCCTTGCACTGCAGGCAGGGAAGACGTGCAGGACGTGCTTGACGAGATGGAGGAGCGGGAGGGGGTGGAGTTGCCAGGGGAGGAGGTCGTGATGACGTTGCGTGGGGAAGACCCTGATATGCGAAAGGGGAAGAGGGCGATGGGGGAGACCGACCGGGCAGCGAGTCGACCGGGGAAGAGGGTCCGCCAGTCCAAGATCGATGAGGTCTACACTGCGGACAAGCAATCGGTCTTCAACGATAAGTTTCTGCAGTGGATCTATAACTCTGACATTCCGTTCAACGCGTTCAGGAGGCAATCGTGGAGGGAGGTCAGGAAGGCGGCGGATGAGCTGCCTAGAGGAGTGCGGATGCGATTTCCTTCCTTTAAGGAAATCGGTGGAGATGGAGTACCCGAGCAGAGGGCGAAGGTGGCGTCTTTATTACGGGAGGTCTGAGAGTCGTTCAGTCACAACGGCGCCACCATCTTGTCAGATGGTCGGAAATCGCGAGATTCTCGACCCATCATGAACTTCCTTGCTGCAGGTGCCAATGACGCTCTGCTCTACGCCACCATTTGCCGCGACGGTTCTGTACAGGAGACGGGCGCCATTGTTTTTCGCAGGTGGAAGGCCATCATTGAGTCCTTCTCTGCGAAGGACGTCATAGCTTTCTGTACAGACTCCGCTAGTAACTACACAGCGGCCTCCCGTTTGCTCGCCGCAGACCCCGATCCAGTGGTCCAGTGCATCACCTGGCTCCCCTGCTCGACCCATGTCTGCAACTTGATGTTGTCAGACATTGGGACACGAGTAGGGTGGGCAGTTGACACCATTATCCGTGGACGAGCGATGGTGCGATTTATTAAATCGCACGGCGCAGCTCTCGCCCTTTACAAGAAGAAGAGCCCGCGCGTTTCGCTTGTGCAGCTAGTTGAGACTCGCTTCGCATCAGTTTTCATGATGTTGACTTGTCTCCTCGGGAGACGCGACTCGCTGGAGGCGATGTTGCATGACGACGCGTAGGCGAGTATCCCGTGGGAGCGGAGACTGCTGCCCCAGGCGAGATGGGTGTGTCTCTAGATTCAAGATGGCGAGTTCTGGCGCTATGTCGAGTTCTTGATTCTTGTGATGGAGCCCATCCATCAGCTGCTGAGGCGGATGAACAGAGGAGGGATGATGATATCCATCGTCTACGGGTGGAGTCGTCATCTCGTTCAGCTTCTGACGAAGTTGGACGTTGCGCCGACCGATCTTCTGACCCCGTGCGTACGAGAGGTCAGGATGCGGCTCATGCACTTGTTGGAGCCCGCGCACGCTGCCGCTCATCTCCTTAACCCCCGTCATCGGTCTTTGAGGTACTACGCATCCCTCCACACCACGACGGAGGATGCGAAGGTTGTGCAGGAGTGTGCTAGTTTTCTCCTTGCGCAGAGTGGAGGTGATCCCACCAGCAGGGATTACCTCGTTGTTCGTGACCAGATGCGCCGATTCCATGCGCGCAGTGGAGACTGGGGTGATAGGCTGGTGTCGGATGCCGAGGCGGAGGGTTGCCATGGGGATCAGGAGACGCACCGTTGCGCGGCGTGGTGGTTTGCCCACGGCACTGCCCACCCTGAGTTACGTGCTATCGCTATCCGTGTGATGCACATGTGGACGTCAGCCTCTCCCGCGGAGAAGAATTGGACAGCCCACGAGCGCATTCAGACGGCAAAGCGGAGCAACCTTGGCTTCGCCAAGCTGGCACAGCTGGTTGAGATCACGACAAATCTCAAACTGGCTTCATGCAGGCAGCAGGGTGGCGGCTATGTGCTTCCATGGGTCATGGAGAGTGTTGACACCGAGAGACGGCTGCCGGACGAGGACGAGGACGGTGACCCCGAGCCTGACGTGTGGGGGGCCAGACCTGTTGGTACGTTCACCGACTGGGAGATCACGAGGCAGATCGATGTTTTTCGCAAGGACGGCACAAACCGTCCTCGAGAGGTTTCTGCCGTATTCGGGGATCGGGTGGCCACTCTGCTCCCTTTCTACCACGTGCCTCCTCCCCCGTCCCGGGGAGCACGAGAGGGTTTTGCGGCAGCCGTTGAGGACGGAGAGGACGATTGGATGGACGCAGAGGATGTGGTAGGGGGCACAGACAGGACGGCGGAGCAGGTGTACTTCACGTACGGGGGCGGGTCAGACGGGCATGCGCCTAAGACGTCCGTCATCACGGACGATGTCGCCGGTGGGGCACAGGGTAGCGCCACTCGACACCCTCCAGCGGGTCGAGGTCGTGGCGCCGTTGCTCGCGACGTTCACCCCCGCGCGAGGAGAGTTCTAGCGGTGGACTCGAGTGACGAGGACGAGGGCGTGGCACCTCACGCTGACCGCCTGCGGGACCCTCGGTTCGATCCGAGCCACCACTCCAGGGAGCATTCAGAGCAGCTTCGTCGGTCACACAGGTTGGCAGAGCGTAGCGTTCAGGCGTCCCAACAGCCTCAGGACATACCGGTCGCGGAGGGGACATCGTCACACAGCGGCCCCGCTCAGGCTGCGACATCCTCTCTGCGCACCAGCGATTTCGATATCGCGGGTTCGCATGGGGGCTCACCTGTCTTACGATGCAGAGTCGATGACAGAGCGGAGTACAGGACGGATGTCCGGGAGAGGGAGGAGACTATTGAGGAGAGGGACGCTCGCCTGGATCGCGAGGAGGAGGCATGGTTGCAGTCCATGCCCCGATGGGAGGGCAGAGAGGAGTATGAGGCCGAGCAGCGGAGGAAGAGGGAGTTAGAGATGATAGGAGCGGGTCCACCACCGAGTGTCGGACGTATGTCGACTTCTGACACGATGCAGCCCCCCTTTGGGCCCTCTGATATTGTGGGTGGTGGTGCTGATACATGCGGATTGGACGCTGGAGGCGGGGGGCAGGCAGATGTGCCATGCAAGGGTGGTCCTGTCGGGGGTGTCGAGACAGTGGGGGCAGACACAGAAGCTGAGAGCTCCGACGACGGTGAGGAGTGTGCGGCCGCCGAGGCTATTGTAGACGACGTCATGATTGGCATATGCGCGACTGGCACAGATGGCGGGACTCATGGAGGGGAGGAGGGGATGGTGGACGAGGGTAGTGTGCCTTTGCCTGAGGAGGAGTTGGTGGACGAGGGGAGTGTTCGTTTGCCTCAGGAGGAGTTGGACGAGGGCGATTTGGCTTTGCCAGAGGAGGAGTTGGTGGACGAGGGCAGTGTCCCTTTGGAGGGCAGTGTGCCTTTCGTTGATGGCACGACACAGGATGACGAGGAGGGAGCAGCGGTCGACGCAGGGCACAGTGCCCCGTCTGTGCGGGATGGCGTGAACGGAGGGCATGTTGAGGAGGAGGTAGCAGCCATCGACATGTCCCTCGCGATTATTGTTAGGCCCCCGTCAGTGCGAGATGTCGAGACAGGATGCCATATTGACTCGGGCGGGCCGGGCTATTTCTCTGCAGGTGGGCAGCTCGGGGAGATGCCTCGGTGGGATGGAGGGGAATCGGGGGAGTGCACTCCAACCCCATTACATCCGGAGCAGCTAGAGACGTTGGGGACGGAGGACCCTTTCCCGTTCACTGGTGGTCAGCCCTCGCCTCCCCCGTGGGCTCCAGTGAGCCCTAGGTGGGCCGGATCATCGCAGTCCGACATCCGTGAGCGGGAGTCTTTGGAGAGCCAGGCAACAGTGTTTTCAGGCGGGACTGGCAGCAGCCATGCGCAGCCACTGACGCGCCCTGTATCTCGAGCATCGCAGCTGACCACAGCACCGACTGCAGGTCTTCCACCGATTGGAGGTCGAGGCAGTGGGCGGGGATCTTCTTCGAGTCATCGAGGTGGCGTTTTAGGGGGGTGGTCGTCTTGTCAGCGAGTGACGGACAGTCTGAGGAGGGACTACGATAGAGGACGGGGGCTGTTCGCACGAGGACCATCGGGGGAGGGAGATCCTGCAGCGGGTGCGAGTGAGGCTGGACGACCGAGTGTCCACACAGCAGGACGTATACTCGGATTGGATAGAGTCAAGACGAGGAGGACAGAGAGGTTGGAGGTTTATCCGGCTCGATCAGCCATTGACGACAGACGGCAGGGACTGCCGTACACATCGGGGGAGGAGGACTTGCATATGCCACAGGGTTCGAGACGTAATGGCTCGATCAGGGATCTTGATGCGGAGATTGCTGCTGACCAGCAACGGTTGGCGGACCTCATTCGCGAGCGTGAGAGGAGGTCGGAGACGGAGGCACAGGCTGAGGAGGCAGACACAGAGACTTAGCCCATCGATACAGCTATGCGGAGAGAGAGGCATCGGAGAGTAGCGTCTGCGGCAGGCTCACACCTTGCACCCGTAGGGAGAGAGGGAGCACCACACGGTAGGGGTCGGGGTGGGAGGAGAGGAGCATTGGCAGGGAGAGGGAGCGCAACACGTCATAGCACTCATACTAGGCGCAGTAGCAGGGGTTAGCGACTTGTGTAGCACGGCAGATCAGTTTTGTACTTTCATGTTTTTTGTATACTATCTTTATTTCATTTGTATATTACTGTCATGTTCTTAGTTGTTAGGTTTCAGACTTGCTATACGTTGTCAGTTTTACACGGCAGGAGTTAGCGACTTTGTGTAGTAGGGCAGATTAGTTTTGTACTTTCATGTTTTTGTATATTATCTTTATTTTATCTGTACATTACTTTCATGTTCTTAGTTGTTAGGTTTCAGAGTTGCTCTACGTTGTTAGTTTTGTTGTGCTATGTGTCCATCATGTTAGGTGTCAGACTTGCTCATGGTTGTACTATTTTTTTCCTACACTGCGACACCAGTTTTGGTTTTCTTGGCCAGGTTGTCATGTTGACTTTGTTCACATTTCGTCATGGACACATTACGTTTGTAAGTGATATGTTTGCATCATGTATTGGTGTTTCTGTGTGTGTTGTATTGTCCTTAGGTCTATCAAACCCTATCCCCTCCCAGTTAATGTCCCTCCCCAACCGCCTTTTAGCCAATGAGCCCTCTCTTTCTGCCCTCTCCCAAATTCCCAATGAATGACATCCACCAACACCCCCCCAACGAACGACTCCCCGACCAGATCAAACCCCCAAAACCATCGCTGAAGAAAAGGAAAAAAAACATTT